ATGCATGAATGCATGCATGGATGTATGTAACGTAATGTAATTTAATGTAATTTAATGTAATGTCATGTCATGTCATGTCATGTAATATAATGTAATGTAATATAATGTAATGTAATGTATTGTAATGTATGTAGGTAGGTAGGTAGGTAGGTATGTTTTTATGTATGCGTGCATGCATGCATGCATGCATGCATGCATGCATGCATGCATGCATGCATGCATATGTGCATGTGCATGTGCATGTGCATGTGCATGTGCATGTGCATGTGTATGTGCATGCACATGCACATGCACATGCACATGCACATGCACATGCACATGCACATGCACATGCACAGCAATGCAATGCAATGCAATGCAATGCAATGCAATGCAATGTAATGTAATGTAATGTATTGTAATGCAATGTAATGTAATTAATGTAATTAATGTAATTAATGTAATTAATGTAATCAATGTAATCAATGTAATTAATGTAATTAATGTAATTAATGCAATTAATGTATTTGTTGGTGGACCCTTTTGTAGGACCCCTTCCTAGAACCCAATGAGATCTTCAAGGAACCCCAATGAGAAATACCCGTAAAACCCCCTGTCAATAATATACCAAAGCACCATGAAGATACCCCATGAGATCCTAAAAACCTTTTCAAATGCCCTACAAAAAACCCTTGCATTCCCGAGGATGGCTCGAGCGCATGCTGCGGCTCCAGGAGCAAAGCCCTCCACGCCGCTGGTCCGGAGGTTTAGGAGGTTCGGGGTTCAGGGCTTAGTAGGATTTGGGGTTGCGGAGTTTAGGTTAGGTAGGATTGGGGAGTTTAAGGTTTAGGAGCTTAAATTTTAGCACAAAGGGCTTTGGATGAGGAGTTTAGGGTTGGGGGGGGGCTTGGGGTTCATGCTTGGGTGATGGTTTACTGAATGCATAGCTGAGTGGACCGTCGTGGGCTTATATTGTAATCCAACTAGACACTTAGAAGGTCAGCTTTTACTGGACCATTGGGATTTGTATCGGCTCGCAAGTTGAAGAGATTCGGATTTCTGAGTCTAGGGCACAGGGATTTCTGAGTCTAGGGTTCGTGGCCTCACGGCCTTAAACCCGAAACCCCAAGCCCTTTAAACTAAACCCTGAACCCCATTTGGGGCGCAGTGTCGAGGATTTAGGAGTTTCAGGCTCAAAGTCCAGTGCACAGGCGTTCCGGATTTCGGCGTCTCGGCTTCCAAGTCTAATGTAGGGGCCTTAATAAGTAGAATAGGGTTCCATTACAGGGTTCTATACGGGTTCTATGATGTAAGGGTCTTCATAATGAAAGTACGGTTTTGGGCTCTTTTAGAGCATAAACAGACTAAGGAACCCTAAGGAATAATGTTGGTAATTTTTTAGGCTTCTATATTACATACTTCTGTGCACAGAGTTTAGGGGTTTAGGATTCTGGGCTTTAGGATTTAGTGGTTTGTTTGAGACTTTCTTAGGATGGTTGAGCAGGGGTTCAAGTTTAAGAGTGGTTAAAGCATGAAGGGAAACCATAAGGCCATAAGGCCTCCATAAATAGTTGGGTTATAACTCCCCTCAGTCGGGTGATCTTAAGTCTTAAGTATAACCTTGCGCATATACTAATATGAGGGCCTGAGTACTTAGCACATCTATGCATGGCATGCACACTCGCAGGTAGACAGTAGTTTGTTCAGGGTTTGGGGAGTGCTCAGCGGTTTGTGCGCCGAGCTCAGGATTTTTGACCCTCCCGCTGTCAGAAGAGCGGTTCGGGAGGATGAAGGTTTTGCAACAGGCCTCTTGGCGCTGAAAATAAGAGGCCTGGGCTCAGACCCTAGACTTCCCCGATCCCCTTAGAGTCCTTGCAGGGTCCGGAAGCCCTGAACCCCGAAACCCCAAACAGCAGAAGAGACCGCCGGACAAGAGCAACTGCATGTGCGGCATCTGCGACGAAATCATGTAAATGCAATGATACACGGTTTAGGGTTTGGGGCTATCTTCAGGTCGTGCATTCAAGGCCTTTTAGGGCCGGGGGTTTGAGTTCCCACTTGTGATGCAGACCGAGTCTCCACTCAAATCTGTCTAGTATATCGGGGCAAATAATAGCTGGAATAAGGTCTTGGGGGGCAATCTAGTATAATGATAGTGAGGAGTCTTAAGGAATAGTATTGCTAATTGCTGAGGCTTCTTATGGTTAACATTCGGTTCAAGGTTAAATGTTCAGGGCTTAAAGACTGTGTTTGAGGGTTGAGCTTAGTGTTGAGAGTTGTGCGGTTTTTGGGACATAGAGGCGGAAGAACGTGGAACTTGTTCTACCAGCCCGACCACGAGCTACAGCTGAAAGAACATCTGCTGGCTCACAGAGGTCCTTTCCACAAATCTGAAGCTTCCAAAGATGCAGCTCCCACCCCCTCCATCGTGCTCAGTGGCCTTGTGCACCTGAAAAGCTACAGCAGCCATCGCACTTCGGCCCTTCCGAATACCTTGGTTCCCTGGAAGCCCAAACCCTGCAAGCCTCCAATCCTAATTTGGGTTCTGGAGTGCTAAACTTGACTACTTGTTTTGGGCACCCGTTCCTTAAAGAAGCCATCAAAAAAGACAAGCTTATTACTTTTTTCCCCTTGGGTTATACCTCAAAGCTGACAGTAACTCGAGGCTCCCGACCTTCTCATCGTCCCGGTGGCGGTGAGCCCCGTCCTGCCCAAAGCGGCACTGCGGGAGCAGCTCGGGCTATGCACTGCGGTTCCTTTACAAAAGGCGTTAAGGGTTTTAGGCTCTCTAGGGTTCGGGTAGCCCTAAGCTCTAGGCTCTGGGGAGCCTTGGGACGGTATGGGGCTTATAGGGCCTAGAATTTCAGGGTTTTGGACTTTGGTGTTTGATTTTGGGGGGGCGTGGGCCTGTAGAGTTTAGGGTGTTTGGCTGGACGTAGACTGGTTTTGGAGGCCTGCGGCCTTGGAGGGTTGGGGGCTTGGGTTCATATCCCTGCGATGTGCATCTAAGGCTGCATCTTCATTGCCTGGCTGCTTGTTCGCATGACTACGAACCCTCGAAACCCAAACCCCCACACAGGTCCCAAACCCCCACGGTCTATAGGGTTGAGGATTTGCGGTTTTAGGATTTGACGTTTGCGGCATCGGGGCTTAAACCCTAAACCCTAAATTAAACGCAGAGGGTTATACAAGTCCTGTCCTGACCCTGCTCAGGGCGACGTTACCTGCTTCCAGCGCAACATCAGCGCAGAGGCGCGCTGAGTTCCGTCTCTTGGTCTAGGCCCGAAACCCATCGAAACCCATGGCAAGTCTGGTCTCAGGGTTTCGGGCTTAGGGTTTAGGGTAAATGTGATTCCAAATACTGCTGCTTTCCTGTTGCCATGATTCTCGCCGGCCTGACTGCTAGTTACTGCTCTTGGTTTGCGAGTCTTGCTGCTGTAGCTACTGCGGTCGTTGGAAGCATTGCCGTTGCTCTTATGTTCCTCTACCTGACTACCTGGACCTAGACATATCCCCAAACCCCAAACCCTGAAACCCTAAAGAATAAGTTAGATGTTTGAACCAGCGGAGGCACAGCGACAGCTGCCCAACCGCGATCCCCGGCACTCTTGGCTGAGACCTGGCAGCAGAGGGTCCGAAGCATGGGCAACCTGAAGTCCTACAGCCCCACTTGGAACGAACAATTTTTATTCTTAGGGCTCCTATTATTCTTGCTAGAAGCAGTACAATATACCCCAAACCCCCTTCAAACTCTGAGAGACCTATATCATAGAACCCTTAAAGGAACCCTGACAAGAAACCCTAGTCTCATTCTGAAGGCCCCTCTTAGCAAAGGAGGTCAGGAGGTCAGGAGCAGACTACACGGAGCACTTGCCTTCACTGGGGGCTTTCGGATTTGGAAACGGACTCTTCAAAAAGCATTTTAGGGTTTGGGGCTTTGGGGTCGGTGACATCACGGAACTAACCGAAGCGGCCTGGATCTTGCCACGAAGAGTTTAGGATTTTAGCATTTAGGACTTGATCGATGGGATGTTGTTCGTTGCCAACATCTGGCTTTGCCGGATTCCGCAAGCCCTGAAACCCTGAACCCCATGGGCCAAGCGGATACCCTTCGGAGTGAAAGCCTAGTGCACTTCAAAATGAAAAAGCAGGGCTAGGACCTGGCGAGGCCTTTGAGCTGCAGCAAGCATCCCTGAAGAGAGATGGATGACTTTGGGGTTTAGGGCTTGGGGCTGTGGGGTACAACAGTCGCATGACACCCAACACGGCCCAGGCTCGTTTTCAACGAGGACCGCATCCTTGAGCCGGCTTGGGTTCAGGATGTTGGCTTCACATAAACCCTAAACCCTAAACCCTGGATCAGGGTGACGATTGTCTTTTGCTGGGGATCCGACCAACAGTCGGGCTGCTCCGAAAGTTGAGGGCGTTGTTTAGGGTTTGGGGTTGATGGGGCTCCACTTTCCCTTGAGATAGTTCTGTAGTAACATAGGGGCCTTAATAATAAGAATAGGGTTTTGGGGAAACCTAACCCCTTTTAGGGATCTCGCCTTAGCAAGTTTATGTCGGGTGCTTTTTCGGCTCCTAGACTCCGAGACTCCATGCAAGGACAACGGGATTTGGGAAGGCAGCTGGAATCGGCCTCAACAGGAGGCCTCTTCGGATTCTAGAAGGGGTTCGACAACTTTGCCGGTCGCTTGCCCTCGAAGCATCCCAGAAAGCAGACCACGCCCTAACCCCCCACACCCCCAAAAACAAAGCTAGTTTAACCTTAAACTCCGAAGCCCTTCAGGGTTTGGAGTTTGTGCTCGAGCCACCAGATTTCTTGAGTTTGCTTCAGGGATCAAGGGTTTAGAGGTCAGAATCGAAGAAGTATCGGGTTAAGGATTCAGCACAGGAAACTGAAATACTACTAATTGGACCTTTAGATGCATCGGGTCCTGCCCGCCCTGCCCGCCCACCCACCCCACCCCACACCCCCCGCCACACCCCAACCCACCGCCCAGATCCGGCCGCACCCATCCGCGTCGGCCCGCCTGTCCACCCAGTCACTTACTCACGATCTCTTTCTCTCCGGCTGGCGGATTTACGCGTTTGCGTTGTGCGTTCAGGGATCGTATCGTATAGGGCTTGGTTGGGAAGAAGTAGGACGTGAAGCCGGAGAACTTCGGCCTCTTGTAGTCAGGGTTTGAGCAAGAATGTCTTTATTTTGCCCGTCCGTGCGTAGGGCTCTAGTCTGACATGTAGTGATTGTGTGAGAGCGGCTACGCCAAAGAAGGCCAGATGCAAGCACCACAGCAACATGATGTTTGTGGTTTCTGTTGCCGCCTCTTGTCATTGTCGACATGTTCAAGATTGCAGAGACCGACCTGCCGACCCGCATCAACGCCTGAGTCGCGTCAGAACCCTTGCTAACATATCATTTTTTAACCCATAAGAGACAAAACCCCAAGAACAAAATTAAAACGGTCGGCCTTGCTGTTCAACTCAAAAGCCCTGGCATGCGTTGTGGAGAGAAGGAGATCCAAACCCCATGTCATCGATTGATGTCTCATGCTACTCGCTGCACATGCGGGTGTGTCTGTATGCTTGCTTTTGATTTGAATTTTTCATCGCAAGCTTTGGTATCCAATTCCAAAACCCGATTCCACCTCCTGGCATCAAGCTGTCTGGAGGCTTTTGAGCGAGCTGCCGCAAGCTTTGCGCACAGTGAATTATGATCCATGCTTGAAAATTGTCGCCTCGGGCTGAACTTTTCTGAGCACAGTCACGTGGCCTTAGCAGATAAACTGTTTTAAATCAGCTGGTGCCAGAGGTCTTTTGGCACGGGGTCACCCGGGTTGATTTTTGCGCAACATGAATAAGAGTGTTAGTAAGCTGCGCTATGAATTCGGATTCAAACATACTACCTAGTTTTTGCTTTATCATTTTACTCACCCGTCTCGCCGGTCGATATTCTTCGATGACAGTCAGAATAATTTTCTTTGTTATAGATTTCAAGATTTATTCCCCACGTTTGTGGTTTAGGCTATGAGTCGAGTCTAGGGGTTTCAGTGGATTTAGGGCCTTAGGGATACGTTTCATGCAACTACCCAATCTTAAATTTTTCAACCAGAAAGCCCAACCCCTAAACCCCCGGAACCCTTAATGGCTTTCACGCAAAACCGTTTTGTTCAACTCCGATTTTCCATCCGGTAGTACTCAGCGTAAGTTGGGGTTTAGGGTTTGGGAGTTTCAGAATGTTTAGGTACTTTGAATAAGAAATTTCGGTGTATATATGACCGATGTACTTTTGTGAAACTCCCATACTATTGAGCTGAGGATTAAAGATTAAGGTTAAGGTTCAGGTTGCCCTACATGTCGGGTGTAGGCCCTGACAACAGAAGTCCTTGAAGTGTTCACTCGGGTCCCTGAACCCTAACCCCTAAACCTGATACCTACACCCCAAACACTACAGGTGGTCCCTCGGATGGGGTCTCTTGGCTTTAAGTTGGGCTTTAATAGCTGCTTTGGTCAAGTCTAAAATTCTAAACCTTGGACTATTCACTGTAGTCGGAGTCGGAGTCGTCGAATTAGAAGCAGGAGTTGCAGCACCAGACTGGCAGCGGCAATCGTCGTACTAGTAGTAGCAGCAGCAGGAGTAGCAGTGGTATTGGTAGGTTTCGGGTGATAGGGCTTAGGGCTTGTAGAAGCTGTGCTTGCTCCAGCAAATAAAGTGTTCAAAATCTTCTGCGAGATTCAACAGTCTGTCGCACGGCTAGTTTACTGCCATTGTGAACTAAGTGTAGTTGGCGCGACGGTGTCTGAAAGATGAACTCGAAGTCCCAGGCATTGAACCTGGGGAATGTAGTAGGTTAATCTTTCCCACTTGCGACATGTCGATTGCGGTGGAAGTTGGATTGCTGAGCGGTAAGGCAGTTACTGTGGAAGTGGGTTTTGATGAAACGGTTGCCACGTTGAAATGTCGAGCACAAACCGCACTTGGAGTCGGATACGGACGCCTGCTTGACTCATCTGGAAGCGTACTGGTTATGTCTGCGACGATCCAGACAGCCAGGCTGGAGAATGGTGACTCCCTGACCATGCACATAAACCAGACTAGAGTTCAAGGCAGTGCTGCAGCTTTTGCTGCCATGCTGGGTGATGGATCTGTCGTGACCTGGGGTCATCCTGCCCATGGTGGTGACAGCAGCGCTGTGCGAGAACAGCTGAAGAATGTGCAGCAGATCCAAGCCTCCTACTACGCTTTCGCAGCCATTCTTGACGATGGATCCGTCGTGACATGGGGCACGCCTGGATTCGGTGGTGACAGCAGTGCTGTGCAGGATCAGCTGAAGAATGTGCAGCAGATCCAAGCAACCCGACAGGCCTTTGCTGCGATCCTTGGCGACGGATCTCTTGTTACCTGGGGTCATCCTGCCCATGGTGGGGACAGCAGCGCTGTGCGAGAACAGCTGAAGAATGTGCAGCAGATCCAAGCCTGTGACAGCGCTTTTGCAGCCATTCTTGATGATGGATCCGTCGTGACCTGGGGTGATCCTGACGGTGGTGGTGACAGCAGTGCTGTGCAGGATCAGCTGAAGAATGTGCAGCAGATCCAAGCAGCCGAGCAGGCCTTTGCTGCGATCCTTGGCGATGGCTCCGTCGTGACATGGGGCAGCGCCGTGCGAGAACAGCTGAAGAATGTGCAGCAGATCCAAGCCCACGCTTTTGCTGCCAATCTTGGCCATGGATCCGTCGTGACCTAGAGTAGTGCTTGCCACGGTGGTGACAGCAATCCTGTACAGGATCGGCAGAGGAATGTGCAGTACCGCTTTTCTTGCCATTCTTCGCCTGGACTCATCCTGACCATGGTGGTGACAGTAGTGCTGTGCAGGACCAGCACAGAGAATCTCAAACGTTACTCATAATCTCACAAGTCTACTCTAGAAGCCTAAGTAACAACCGACATGATTGTTTAGGGCTTCGTATTATGATCATATCAAGTTCATTCAGGACTGTTAAGTTGGACAGCCGAAGCATTCCGACCCCGAAGCACGTGAGCCCGTTCCTGATAGCATGCAAAGACAGCCGAATATCGTTCAGGGTTTTGTAGAGAAATGAAGAGGGTTTTGCAGGTTTGTTTTGGTTTCAAGACTACCGAAGGCAGGAGACTTCTCGGGGGTTGCGGGTCTTTTGAATAACTCATATCGAAGATCTCCCGCAATATCTACAAAAGTTTATTGCAATCTATTTAATGTATTATCATTTTAATGTAGAATATTAGTGGTCACCTTGGGTAATTCCATATTATTATTCAGGGGCTGTAACTAAAGACCGAAAATACACAACAACCGTTTTCCCTCAACACGACCAAAAAACCAAAACCAAAAATTCCAAAAAAAACAAAACCAAAAAGAACAAGAATACCAAAAAACCCAAAACCAAAAAACACAAAAATACCAAAATAAATATTATTTCAGAATTCTTCCATTGGTGCATATTTCTAGTTATATTGTGGAAGAGTTCTGAAATAATGTTTTTTTGGTTTTGATTTTTTGGTATTTTTGGTTTGATTTTTGGTTGTGTTAGGGAAGGGAGTTGTTATATTTTAAGGTTTTGAATCGCGTACTTGAGCTGCCGGAAGCGCAACGGGGGAAATTACATGGCCCGGCAAACTCGCCCCATGTCTTATATATTTTTAGTTTCAATTGTAATATTCGAAGATGACACGAAGATATCGAGATGTTAAAAATTTATAATTGAAAAAATTGATTATTACTTCGAACTAAATTCTTTATAAATCGATTCAAAAAAATACAATTAAATTAATTATCTAGATATTCGGTTTTTAGATTTCTTAACTAATATTAGTTTAAATTGAAAATGAAAATAATATATTTAACAATCTTTCAAATAAATGAACCGAATATATAATTAAAAATTATCACTTGATTAGATTATTGCGGTCAGAGATTTGATAGATTATTAGCTAAATATATGATTTCTATTCCTCAATTTTTTTTAAATCGATAGATTGAATTTTCGAATATATTCACGATATTCTGTTTAATATTATAGTCTGAATAGATATTATACTTAATTAAGAAATGAAATTTTTAGAGATATTTAGGATGAGTTGTATATTTCTATGTTTTAAGTTTCTTATCGTGTATTTTTGTGACCTATTGAAACTTATTTTATATATTCCGAAAATTTGCAAAATGTAGCGGTAGACTTCTATCTTTGAATCTATTATTTTTATTATCTTGTATGTTTGATGTCGGGAGAAGAAGAGATTTTCGTTTAATATCGTTCTCAAATATAGGATTCTTTATCTAAGAAAAAATCGTTCTTATTATAGAATGAAATATTAAATAATTATAAATTTATTTTGATTCTTGATATGATAAATTCAAATAAAAAGAAATATTTTTATAATTTTATGTCGTCATAAATAAAATGTATTCTTAAAAAAATAGAATAGAAATTTATATGTCGGCGAAAAATTTTGGATTTTTGATATGATAAATTCAAATAAAAATAAATATTGTTATAATATTATATCGTCATGAATGAAATATATGGGAGGTTGCCTAAAAGAGCGGTTAATAATTTTATATAAGGCGGCCATAATTATCTTTGGAGCATGATATTTTCTCTTTGGTATGAGGCGGGGCCCGAGGTTGGGCAAGTGAATCACCTTTGTGGCGCTAGATTAGCGATAGTTTG